AGAGGAGGCTGAGGGGAGCCCTCATCGCTGCCTACAACTGCCTGAGAGGAGGGGGGAGCTAGAGGGGTCAGGCTCTGCTCCCAGGGAACAGGCAATGGGACGAGGGGAAACAGCCTCAAATTGTGCCAGGGCAGGTTTGGATTGGATACTAGGAAAAAATTTCTTTACTGAACATGGTCAAGCCCAGAGAGGCGGTGGAGTCCCCAGCGCCGGAGGTGTGCAAAACACGTAGACATGGCGCTTGGGGACACGGTTTAGCAGGCACGGGGGTGTCAGGTTAACAGTTGGACTCGATGATCTTGGAGGTCTTTTCCAACCTTAATGATTCTATGATGCCAATTACCTCTGAGGTTTTCTGAGAGCAGGTAGCACGTTCCAGCCTGGGAAAGCAAACAGCTCCCAGGGCTGCGCATCACTCCCGCAGGCGGAGCGCCTTTCCGTTGGACTGAGATCAACTCCTCTTGAGGCTTCTTTCCAAAGCTCACCGCGAGCATCTGACGCGGGCCGGGGTTCTCTAGAAAGAGGTCAGCACGCTTTTCGCTCAGCGCAGTTAAAAAAAAAAAAAATAAAACCCAAACGAGACCAAACTGGAGTTCCAGGGAGCTTTTATTGAGTTTCATCAACAAAATCAGGATTTTACCATTCCATTTTTTTTGCACTCCGAACTCGTGAAGCTCTTCACGAGTCAGTGCTGCGACGCACGTACAGCCAGAGAAAATACATTCTCAACAAAATCCGAGCTCCGCTGGAGAGTTTGCCAATTACCGATTTAACAGAACGCCAATTTTCCCCTCCCTCCCCTGAATGTTTTCAAGGACTAGTCCACATTGTTTGCTGGTTAACGGTAAGAACACCAACTTCTTGACTAGGGACCGGTGGATCACGACGGTCCACCCGAATTGCAAATAATTTCTTGTCTTGAAATAAAAGTTCCAGTTTCTTTCAATAAAGGGAACAGCGACTATTTTCTTCTCCTGACACCCCTTCCCCGTAATTATTGGTTAAAATACAGCAAGGCCGTATCTTAATAAACCCATCCCTCCCCCCACCCCTCCTTACCCTTCCCTAACCTGTCTACGGCAGAATTTAACAATGCTTCCACGCAGGGACATTTCAGCAACGCGACCGGTGAACTGAGCAAAACCTATAGGACAATCTGCCAAAGCCTCGCTTTGAAGATCAGATGCGTGCTCTTTGGTCCAGGGACCCGCTTTATGACAAAGATAAAACTGCGATTCACAGGAGATGGACCAGAAGTCACAGCCATCAGAAAGCTCCCTGCACAGCCTACAGGTGCTCAACCTTTACCACGGCGGCCGTACCGCTGGAGTTCCTGGGAACAAGATTCACTCCGTCCTCAGAAAGCAACAGCGGCTCGGCCCCAGCTGCGCTACAGAGTCCAGCACCAGGACGAGAACTGCTGCCGCGGCATCTCCCTAAGCTCTAGAACAGAAACCGAGGCAGGACAGCCGTCTGCTCAGGTTTCTGTCCTATCAGTCATTTGAAAAAACAAACAAACAAAAAACCCGCAAAACCAAACCCCCCCCCCCCCCCAAAACCTCCCAAACAAACAGGCGTGTGAAGCATTTTTAAATTCTTGGAGCAGACACCCTCCCCCATCCCAAGTAAAAAATAAAGAACAAAATATCAGAATGAGATGATTTGATACCAACACGTACGCAACATGAATTCATGTTGAGCTTCCCTGTTCTTACCCACAAAAAAAGTCACAGAGGGCAAAGGAAAGATGCTCCCATCTCATTCTGGAAATTGAAACACGTATTTGAGACCAGCCCACCCCCCACCTCCCCTTTGGGAAAAGCCCTCCGGCAACTGCGGCGCGCGCCCAGAGACCAGCCTGCGGCTTCTCTCAAGCGGGCCAGCTGAAGACTCGCTTCACCCTCTTCACAGCCACCTCCCCCAGCCGTGAAGCTCCATTTCATCAGATTCAGGGAGTGACACGTTTATAGACTTCCGAGGGGAAAAGCGCAGAACGCGTCAGATCCTCAATCGCATCGTCTTTGTCAGAGGAAGTATCTGACCCAGGGCTCATCGCTGAAGGCTCCAACTAATGCCTAAGTGTGAAGGCTGGCACGTGACCAGCAAAACCAGGAGCTCGCAAGGAATCTCGGGAAGCCAAGGTTTACACACGCTCCTTGCCTCCTGGACAGGGAAAAAACCAACAAAAAACCCCAAACAAAATAAAAAAACAACAAAAAACCAAACCCCAAACCCAAAAAAACTAGGATTATCCTAGTCCTTTGGAGCATCTTTCCATTTGCAAGATCACGTCTGTTAGAGATAGCCTACCAGCACCAAAAATAGGCCGCTTCCTCCTTGACAAGAAGCCACCTACAAATGGTGCCCCCGATAGTTCAGGTAAGTGCCAATCCTCAATTAGAGGCCAAGTTTAAAGTAATACTTTCAAAAGTTCTGTGCTTCAAGAGGGACCATCAAGGCCTGGCACCAGGCTAACCTACCACACATCCAAGCAGAGCACACACGTCTGACTCGCCATCGCTATCCTGTTCTCTTACGTGTGCGTGCCCCGGTAAGATACAAAACTTGTATTTACATTTTTCTCGTCTTTGTTGCACTAAAATGATCCCTCTTCTGTCTCTGGAAAAAATCATACGCTGGCTGCAGTACAAGAGCAAGGTTTTACTTTTGGTCAAAGTCACCACCCACAAACTCCCACCCCCCACCCCCCAAAAGCACCCCAAAATTGTTTACATTTAGTACCTGCCAGTCAGATGTAAGCTGTGTGGCTCACAGAGTGTCTGTGACCAAGCTCGAGTTTGTACTCTAGTGCAGCATTTGCTACAATTACGGAGTCACTGCGGACAGAAGGAAAAAAAAAATCCCAAACGCAAAAACCTTTCCATCCTGTAGAGGTGTTGTCAGGAGGCACCTGGCTTCTATTTACGATCCGCGAGGGAACGGACGGGCGAGTCCGCCTCGTAGTCCCAAACGATTTTACTTGAATTTAAAAAAAGGGAAAGGGTCAAAACGGGGAGAAATTAAGACAAGTAATTCCTGCCTCAAAGGTAAGCGAGCGTGGTGTGAGTGCAGCATCTGTATATGCAATAAACGACCGAGCAAAAGGGATTGCGTTCGTCCAGGTGCCTCCTGACAGTGTTGGTGAACAGGCTAAAAGGGAATTTAAAAAGAGTACAGTTTTTGATTTGTCTCACTCCTCTTGCCTGTAGATCAGGCCAAACATCAAGCATGTTGGGAGGGGCACAATTTAAAGCAACACTACTCGACCGGAAAGCGCTTCTCAGCAATATACAATGCAAAATGACAGACAGCAATTCATGCCAAAACAGAGGAGATGGCAAGCAGCTTTCTGCAGCTTCTGACATTATCGGGGGCTTGCCCTTACCTGCTCACAAGTCTGGACAGAGGCCGCTCTGGGCAGAAAACGCACAATGCTGCGGGAAGTCAATCGATCCCACAAAGCTCCAGAACTGTCAGTTTATGCATGTAAAGTGGTTTTCTGTGGTTTCTCTTAAACCCAAATCCACGCCTTATGCATATACTGCTCAGCAACACTGGCACCCGCCGGATTTCCCTCACGCCGGGGTGGAACACAGCTCACGGCCCCCTTCAGAGCTTGTCAAGTTCCTGAAGGTTCTAGGGGGGAAATCAAAGAGCATCTCCCAACAGGCCGAGCTACGGATTTCGAGACCTCACAGACCCACGAGTGATCTCCTCTGCACGAGCGGTACGGGACAGCGTTGCTAGCACCAGAGCAAACCCACCCTGACAAGGGACGCTTGTAGAGGCCTGCTCTCCACGGAGGTCAGAGCACTTCTCATTGTTTAGTGTTGCAGAAAACTGAGCCCCTCTCATCTTTAGCTGCTCCCATAATCAGTCTAATCCCTTTAACCCCAGCAACCTTCATCACAAAAGAAAAAGTTATATATGAACCCAAACAGGAAAAAAAAAAAAAAAAAAATCATATTTACAAAGTTTGTACAATATACACATCTGATTTTCTATGGGACACACTGCACCAGAGGAAAGAGGGCCATGGCTCTGAAAGAAGTCTACGTATCAAGTGCTGTAACTACTAATGGAGACTCTTATGGAAACCAGTCTTTAGTGTTCTGCTAGAGCGTAGGGCTTTTCTTATGGCTCCTGCAAAGGATGACAGGCTACTCTTTCCTTCTGGAGCTACGATGCTGCACCTAATCAGCCCAGATTTTAAGTTGGTTTCGTTTTAAATACAGGTATTTACAGCGTGGGTGAACTGCAGATGCATATCAACTCCTCCAATTAAAAAAAAAAAAAAAAGTTGAAGAAAAAAGTAGTATTACTGATACGTTTCACCTCCCAGCCCTGGGCTTGAGTACTTGGGGAGGAGGAGAGGGGGAAGAGAGGGGAACTTTGACCTGAAACCAAAAACGGTTGTCGATTCCTTGGGCTGCGTCGGAAAGGTGATGCTCTGAATGGTCTCATAGCATAAGGCACTTTGCACGAATAAGTAACAAGCTCTTTAGCTTAAAACCAGATGAGTAACCAGGGAGAAGTTGAAATGCACTCAGTCGATGGTTGAAGAATTTGAAATAGCAGACAAGCTCGTGTTCATCAAGATTCTTCTCTTTTCAGGGTTTCTCTTCTTCCCTTGCTGCCCCTCCCACCCAAAGAAAAAAAAAATTTAAAACCAGCAGTTAGTGCAACTAATGTTCAATCAGCACACAGTGCAAACAAGTGGAAAAACAAAAAGACATTCCTCCTTTTATCTTCTTTCTTCCTTGCTGCCAAATTTAAAAAGAAAAAAAGGCCGAGCTCTTTAGTCTTCATAGTTCCGAAATGAAAAGACGAAGAAAAACCCACAAAGAGAAGGGTATCCCCAAAGAAACGATGTGTCACAGATCTGGATCAAAGGGCTTCACCTTCTGGCGTGTGTAATCAGAGCCTAAAGAGAAAACAAACCAAAAGAACAACCACAACACCCACAGTTAAATCAATTCTACACAAAACCAGAACCTAAGTAATGAATCACACTGACTGTGTAGCAGCTCTGGAAAAGCAAAGGGCATTCGGAACAGCTCAACCTCAACCACAGCTGCGCAGAACGAGGCGCTGCTAACGCCCTACTACTCCCATGGAGCATGACTATCTGCTGGTTTCTTCTCCTTCAGGAAGTGGCAAACAGTTCGCAGGCAAGGTCACAGCCTCTCCCTTAAGGATGCCACCCAAGAGCCTTTTCCGAGTTCGTCGCCCATTTGGGGTTTCTGTATTTACTTATAAAACACGGAAAAAACTCAGCCAGCAAAGCAGAGGCTGCAACGTCAGCTTGGCATGACTGTCGAGGGCTATCCTCAAACGATTTCAAAGAAGGGACGCGGGGTCATTTTAACGCTATTTAGCGGTCTGCTTCTATGGCCGCTTTTTTTTTTTTTTTTTTTTGTCACCTGAGAAGAATTTCAGCAGCTTCACTGGGATTCTCTTTCTAATTCACTGTCTCCGAGAAGAGTACACAAAAGAATGATTTCGAACCCAAACTGTACGGTGCCTGATCTCACACAATAGAGCATCTTAACTAAAACCAGATCAGACATCATCCTGCAGCTACTTTGCTTGACTGCAATCCAGGGCGAGTTTTCTTCTTATAAAAAGACTCGACTCTGCATTTTTCCCTCAGACTATGATGAGGAAGGGCACACTTGGGACAGCGAAAGCTCATTTTCTTTTAAAGCTAAGCAGACGACCTCGAGTGGCAGCAAAGACGAATTACAGCTTTGCTACCCACTTCGTTTAGAATCATAGAATCGCTTTGGTTGGAAAAGACCTTTAAGATCATCGAGTCCAACCGTTAACCTAACCCTGCCATCCCACCGCTAAACCACGTCCCTAAGCACCTCATCTATCCTTCTTTTAAATACCTCCAGGGATGGGGACTCGACCACCTCCCTGGGCAGCCCTTTCCAGAGCCTGATAGCCCTTTCCGCGAAGAAATTCTTCCTAATGCTAATATTTACTTGCAGGAGTTCTGTGAACCAAAGGATGCAAGAGATGCAGCACCTTTAGCTTGAACGCCTTCCTTCCAACTGGCGAGGCGCTTAGGCTCTTCTGTCGGTGCTCTGTTCTCAAAGCTAGCCATTTTCTCTCCTCACCTCTTTGAGGACCGCCGTCCTCTCTGCCCCTCACCAGTTACTCATTTTAGCTGAGCAACACCGAAAGAATTCCTCAGATTACCAGGAGCCATCCCGGCCTCGCCAGATACCATTCCCCCGCTCTCCCTTCCCCCCATTTTTGGTCTCCTCAGTGTATAGTCAGCATTTCAACTAAAACAACTCAAAACTACTCATCTTCCCCTCCCATCTTCAGCACGTCCACAGAACTCCTTGCACTGACCGCCTACTTCAAACCCTTGTTTTGACATTCAGAGCCTCTTTGGCACATCAGCTTCCCTTTTCCCCTGCGGGGAACGTTCACACATCAGCTCTTCTTTCATCCAACATAACTCCTCTATTCAGGAAGGCATTCACATACGCACATGTTTACTGTTTCTCATCTTCTACGGGTTCACTGTGGTATTCTGCCACATACAGGCTCTTGTCAATGTTGCTCGGTATGGGTTTAATTTCAGTTCCCAACTGCTCCTCGATACTTTTCAGGTTGAATCGATCATCATAGGTGATCAAGTTGATGGCCAGGCCAAGATGACCAAAGCGACCTTGAGACGAAAAGAGAAGACAAACAAACAAACAAACAAACAAAAAAAAAAAAGACTGAACTGAGTAATAGAAGGCTGACTGAAAAAGTCTGCAGACCGCAGAGTTAACACCACCGCTCTCTGATGATAACAGCAAATCCAGACCCCGCCACAGGTCTCTGCAGCTTCCGCAGCTGGTTTTGGTGTAGTTTCGTACTGCTATAGGAAAAGAAAATCCAGGGGGTGCCAAACGCTCTGACCAAACCTCCACATTAATTACCAACGAAAAGTCTTCCACTACTGCATTATGCACGTCCAGCCCTTCTTCAATAACAGAGAATTCTTGAACACGCCTGAACTTAAAAAGTTCAAGTACACCGAGTTCCTTTGCGTACTGCCTTTCTTAAGGAGATATTTTGCTGATGCCTGGAGATTAGAAACATACCTCAGAGCACAGGCAGAAGAAAACTACGCTTAAGACACCACGGAAGCGAAGTTTTCAGCACAGAATTTCCCCAAACTGCAAACAGGAGCATCAGTAAGTCTCCCAGGATTAAAGCAAAAATAGGCTTTTTTTTTTTTTTCTTTTTTCTTTTTTTTTCTTCTCTCTCTTCATTAGGCTGTTCAGGCCAGTTTCAAGAGAACAACCCGTTAATCAGATATTTGTGAAGATAACCAACCTCAGATGACGCGCAAAAAGACATCTGTCAGAAAAGCCAAAGGCTGCCTAAAATAGTTCTCAGACACAGTAATAAAAAACAGAAGCCAATTCAAGCCTAGAACACCACAGTTATCAGCAAAGTTGAGCCTAAAAGATGTTTTTCCTCTCACCTGATCTGCCAATACGATGGAGATAAGTCTCTGCCAGCTTTGGGAAATCAAAGTTTATCACCACATTCACAGCTTGGATATCAATACCTCGGGTAAACAGATCTGAAAGATGACACAGGTCACGAAGAAAGTTAATTTCAATGAGATCAAATGCTGACAGTATTTAAGGTGGAAAAATTAACAGCAATTAACACTGGCTCGCGCTAGTTTCCAGATGGAAGCTTCCCTTGTATCAAAGTTCGTTTACAACCAATTCCATTACAGCTCCTTCTTGCTCTTTATCCATTATAAATATAAATAATACAAGAAGAATGACCAAAACACCCGATCTGCACATCTATGCTGAAAAAGCAAGGAGCACAAAGCTAGGGTTTTTTTCCACGTTAGACTATTTCTGAGCAGGTCTTCTCATAGGAAGAGTCTCCTCAGACATGCTTGTGCATTGCCAACATCACAACAGACTCGAGATCTGAACTACATCCCGCTAGCTCAACTATTTTTATTTTGCTTCTACCAATTTCTGTTAAAGATGACCCAGACACGTGTAGCGATGAGCAGACGCTGCCACGGTATCGCCCAAAGAGGCCGTACGATGGAGAACTCTGATCGTACGCAGGCCAATCAAAACTATAAACATATTTAGAAAAGATGAGCTATAAACATGTAGAGAATTGGCAAAACTTACTCGCGTGATCCTAGCCCTGGTTCTACCGGTATTTCGTAAAGCTTAGGGCCTAACAACTCGGAGATCGCTCACGTGTGGAAGTATACAGAAAACGTGCAGGAAATACTATCGCACCAAGACAATTTGTTGGCAAGTTGTGCCTTCGCGGTTTGTCACGGAAGACAAAAATCCACATGCCTGTAGGAACGCGCATCCCCCCCCGCTACGCTTGACAAAGACATCTTACCAAAACGTTATCGCTTTGTTACAAGTCAAGTGATCTGTTAAACCTGGGCTAATGGCTAATCTGCTTTCTACCACAACCTTTAGAAACAGGGAAATGTTTAGGAACTCTTACCAGTGCAAACAAGATTGCGGCATAAGCCATTTCGGAAATCGTGGAACACACGATTGCGGTGCTCCTGGAAATATATATACACACACACATAAACAAAGCAATCAAACAAACCGACCAAACAGCTGCGACTTTCAGGTACATTCGAGTTACAAACACCAAACTTCAGTTGCGTAAATTCCTCCCCCCCGTCATTAGAGAACAGCCAAGTCAAACAAAGCTGCTAGCATGTATTTTTTTTAGCACTTCTTACCCACGTATTCTAAAGAACTTACCAGAGGGGCCACTGGTACCACTTCTAGACAGAGACACTTAACCGACTGCCTTTTAAAGCCTCCTACAGCTGCAGCAAAGCCATCTCAGAACGGGAGCATCTTAAGTTACAATTATGCGAAATGCGCATCGAGGAAGCGACACTGCTATTTTGACTACCATCTACCCCCAGCTCCCTGCCAAATTCAATGTATGTTTTATTCATGCCCTTAAAACCCAAAAGTCAGTAGTAACTTCATTTTCCAGTACGGAGTATTTTGCACTATCAGTTTGGAATTAGGGGCGGGACAAGTCAATTGCCTGTGAAGACTCCCTCACACAAAGATTAAGAGTGAAATTAACAGCGGAAATGACCAAGTTGAAGGTTTCCGCACAAACATACCTGCGTTTTGCCGCAAAGTTCATTTGCTGACTGATCAAAAGCGTACAAGAATCGGACTTCAAGGAACCCACCTGCCTATCTCTCCGTTCTCAATACTGACACTAATTCTATCGCTGCTTAATTAATTACCGGTCTGCATACAGCCCAGCAAACAAACAGTGGCATTACCCGTTAGTTCCGTGAACTGCAAGCTAGGTCTCCTCTAAAGCTTCCATTTGAACTTCCTCTATCTTACGTATAACACGAAAAAAAATATTTCAAAGTACTACTGTTTTACATGCGTCACTTTGACCTTCTTTGACATCTTTTAGTATACTTACTGAAAACAAGGAAATTACGTGCAGGAAGCTTGAGGACATGGGAGCCAACGTACCATTAACAGAAACCTCTGCACCAGCAAAGCTGGTCGGCATTTATCACCGTCTACACCAAGGCCACAGATGCTCGGTCGCCACGCACCAGTCGCAGCTTTCGCCGAGAGGTTTGACCGAAGCCACCTCCCCGACTTCTCAGATTCCCCTGCAGTGACAGCGTGAGCTTTACCGCCTGCAAAGCCACACGGGGCGCTCAACGGGCTGAGCACTGGGGTTTTTGTTCTTAGTTTTAAATCAGGCTTGTTTTCACCCGAGTCAGTTACACTGCGTGGTCTACCACGGCTCTCCATGCCAGAAAGGCGGCAGCAGCAGTAAGAACCATGCCTTCCAGCCACGGTCTGTGCTTACGCTGGGCTATTTAACCTGACCTGAAGTACTCTTAAATACCAACTGACCCGCTATGCTGAATAGTCTGGAAAGAGGTCTGGGGGCAGGGGGAGTCTAAAACCAAATCGATAGCGAAGCAATACATGTTTCAGTTTTCAATTAACACGTAAATTTAAAGCAAGCACGAGACTTAATTCAGCTATGCAGTAAAGCTTGGCGTGGTGGGGAATAAACAGCCGTAGACTTTGTACTCACCTGCCTCATTTTAGCGTGGATATAGAAGCAGGAATAGCCCAGCTGGGAGATCTTTTTGGCTAGCAGTTCAACCCGTTGAGAGGAGTTGCAGAAAATGATCGACTGGTTAATCTGGAGCTGAACATGTAAGTAGCGTGCTCAGTAAACGCAGCATTTTACTAACAAATGACTAAAGACGCAAGTCTAAACCCCTTCCAGAAAAAAGGCTAAGTGGGTATGCTCCTGGTAATTTACACAGCACGTTTTTGTACAAGGGCGGGGTGGAATTAACAAAGTTCTTTAACACAAAGGTGCAGGACAAGAAGCACACATTTTTAGCTTCAGCTAAAAGGCACATTTTGACAAGGAAAAAGTATCAGTAAGCTGTCTTTGCCACCCTCTGTCTTATTCTTGGTTTCAAAAGGAAAAAGAAAAAAAAAAAAAAAAAAAAAAAAAAAAAAAAGAGCTTCTTGACCCAGCCCTACTGCTTACCCTGGAAAACAGCGTATTGAGGCAGTGCACTTTCTGACGCTCAGTGACATAGGCATAGTACTGGGTAACTCCCTTCAAGGTCAGCTCCTCCATCAGATTAATCTCATAGGGTTTCTGCAAATGGGAATTCTGAAACACAGAGACAAGGATAAAGCGGGCGTATCTACACGCAAAACAATGCGAGTACTTCCCACCCTCCGGCACATTTAACTTCCTCCATGGCAAGGACGCACTACCTAGCCGCTCACTCTTCATGCTATACACAAAACAGACAGGGCGGGTAAAATTTCACAAAGGATTACTTATAAATCCAAGGCGACCGAGCAGGCCAAGCAGGAGCAGGCTCTGGAAGCAAATCGGCGCAGATGGCACGTAACTCACATACAAAGTGGAAAATGGTACCTTGTAGGCAAGAACTGCGGGTACCTAGCTTTCCCATTAATGCTACTGTGGGTCAAAAACGATTTTCAAGCTTCTGTCCTAGATTCAAGCCGATTTAGATTAAACTGGTGAAGCTTAGAGACGCTAGAAAAACCTAGCGCTAACAGCCAGGCACCACTCATTCACACACTTCATGTGCAATGTCACCGCCGCCATACGTACACGAATACATCTGCACTCACCATGAACTTCTGTACGCTCAAAGGGAAAGTGGCCGAGTAGAGCAAAATCTGTCTGTTTTTAGGTAGCGTGAGAATAATGTCTTCCATTATTTGAACAAAATCTTGAGACAGCAACTTGTCTGCCTGTAACAACAGAAGTTAACAGAGAGTAAGTTAAACTAACGGGGCAAGATTTCGGTCTTCTGGTAGTACCACACTGCAGGGGGGGAACCGCAAAACTAAGCGCCAGGAGCGTTCTCCCTGCCCTTACGATAGGACTGTCCCCTTTGGAGCACACACCGTGCTCCAAAAGACGTGCAATTTAGCTGCTGGAGATAGGACTCATCAGTAAATGGAAGTTTACCCTCTCCTGGTTTTCAGCACGTCGATTTAAACAGAATTGCAATCAGGAAAAAGGAAAGAAATCTAACTGAAAACAGTTATCAGGGTTCCTATTGGAGCCATCCAAGAGCTTTCACGCAACTATTTTCTCAACCTCTCACTCAGAAGCCTGTATGCTACTGGACGTTCATGAATCAGTTTTATATACAGTTACGTGGTAAGCACAGCTCGCTCGTTATAAACTGAAACCAAACAAAAAGCTTTCCTTCATTTCAGCGTAGGCTGTTAATCTATTCGTCGGAAATAGCAAAGAAGAGGGGAAAGGCAAATCTTCCTCGGTTGTTTTCTTAAAAGAGTCTTCTGTCAAAATACCCTCCCAAAAATACTGAGAAGCGGATGAGCTATCGCCGTATAGCACCTCCAAGAAAAGTTTTTGACTTGCTGCTGTGCATAACAAGGAGACCTGCTGAGCCACATCATTGCTTTAACTTGGCATTAAAATCCCAAAACGTTTAACATGAGCAACTTGCCTCATCCAATACTATCATCTGGACATGCTCAACTTTTGCTACTCCTTTCTTGATGAGATCGAGAATTCTCCCAGGCGTAGCTATCACCACATGCACTGTAAGGTTAGAAGAGAAAAAATGGTTGAGGTGACTAAAATAATGTTTCTGGCATTCACAGCCATGTTTCATATGAACGTTTTGAGAGAATAATGACAACATACAAACAGTGAACAAGACACGTCGTCGTCTGTTCTGAAACAGGAAAACAGTAACAAGCAGAAATTCCACTGCCACACTGTAAAAGCACAAACAGTAACCGTAGCGTAGGAAGAGTGCTCTGACCTGTATCGTCAAGCCTCATTATGTCATCTCGCAAATTGGTTCCTCCCGTTGTTGCCATCACTTTGGCACCTCCCATGTGTTTGCTGACTTGGATACAGATTTGACTGACCTGCAGGGCTAGTTCACGGGTGGGAACAATCACCATTGCTGAAAGTTAAAAGCAGCAGTGTGAGTTACTAGTAGCACACCATACCTTAAACACTAATCCTCAGAGGAGACAGAGACTTTATGACAGCTATACTTCTGCAGTTTTGGAGTTCCACTCCAGATATTCCGAAGACGACCATAAACTGCTTGCAACAACGCAAATTCCACCCCTTGGTATTTCCTCCGCCCAAGTCCCCCAGCCAGTGCTCTCGCCTATTACTCCAAGCCCACTTTCCAGGGCAAGATGGTAAAGTTCAGAAGATGCCTTCCATTTCAAGCTTTTGAAAGCAACCGTGGGACTTTTAAAATTCCCCCTCCCCTCCGCCACACCCCATTAACTTGCTTTGCAAGCACAAGCAGATAATCTACGCTGCTCCAATTCATTGACCGGTTTTAAATTCAAGTCTACTACGTAGTGACTGAAACCATTACCTGGCCGCAGCCAAGAGAGATCCATCTCAACTGACCTTGTATATTGTCCTTCTTTAAGTCTAGCCGTTCAAGTAAAGGAATGAGGTAGGCTCCACTCTTGCCTGTTCCATTTTTCGCTCTAGCCAAGATATCCCTACCAGATAAAGCAATGGGGATGCTCTCCTCCTGCAACGCAACGACAGACAGCGCATGAGCAATCATAAGCCATGCTCGCTAAAGAGGTTGGTTGAATTTAACTCTCCTCGCTCACAGTATTGCGTGAAATCCGATTTTTTTCATGAACGGAATACCCTGCAACCGCAAGCATCGCAGACTCACAGGACGAAGGAGTTAAACCTATCAGTAAAGAGTTCCCCAACAAAGCAATAGCTCTGCTCCCCACATCCCACTTAAAAGTCCCTATCTTGCCCGGTCATAAGAGAACCAGGGATCAGGCACCACAGGAATGGTAAACCCGTAACTGACACATAAGGAAAAAAATTGAAAAGTTAGGGAAAAAAAAAGCGTAGAGACAATGAGAGCTGCCAGCAAACTCCTCCTATGGAAGGAGATACCCACCTATACCTTAACATTAGAACCACCCGAGCCCACGTAATTCAAACCTGCACGCTCCTGTGATTTACTTCTCATAAACCCGGCAGGCCTTCCTTTTGAAACTTCAGCCATTCAAACACAGACCCCAAGTATTTTTCACTTGACTGTCTTTTATAGCAACACCTAGAGAACCCTCAGCCTTTTGGAAAGGCAGCATGGTTAGAACCTGTTTTTTTAAAGCAGACAAATTACCTAAAAGCCATAGCTTTCTTGTGCCTTAAGGAGATAAAGTGGTAGAGCTGTATCAATGATACTCCACCAAAGAGCAATTAAAAGGCAGTTCAGTGTCCCCCGTGTTCCCCCTCCCACCCCCCCAAGTTTACACGCGAACAGTTCTTAACAGAACAGAGGGACAGAAAAGTAAACTTGCTAGCATATTAATCTCTCCCCCATAATCCCCATTACGCTCCTTCCAGATGCTTACGATAAAATCAAAAGCCAAGACTAAAATGTGACAAAGCCAGAATAACAGCTAAAGGTATGCAGTTTTCCAGAAAGTGTACAGAATAGCCCCATTCTCACCGGGACTACTTCTGTAAAGGAAGTTACTGCACAGAGGATTAACACGCTAAGGCCTCCGGAATGCAAAGGAAAAGCCAAGTTAACTTCTCTAAAGCATAAGTCGATCCCGTCTCTAAGACACCCACTGCATGACGTAGCAATTTAGTCAGGCATTTGAAATTCTCGCCTTCCCCAAAGGGCCACCAAGTTCTACCATTCACAACCCCAGTTTTCCCAAATCATGACAAGAGTATCTGATGATGAAGCACAAATAAGAATTTCAATAAACATATAAAAACTGGAACACTGCTTTTAAGTAGTCTGTTTGTAAACAACCTGAATAGGAGACGGTTTTTCCCAGCCCATTTCAAAAATTCCCATCAGCAACTCCCGTTTCAAACAGTAATCTTCAAACTCGTTTCCTTTCGTGGAGGTCACGTCCTGAATAATCAAAAAAAAGCACATCCATAAGATTACGCCACACAACCCACAACCGTAGAGTGGTCTGACTCAACGAGAGATTGCCTACACGGGACGACCACAATGCGCATTCTATTACTATATAGGAGTTCCCACCAATGCGTGCAATACCGTACAGCGGAGAAAGAAACGTCAGCAAATTCGGAACCGTGAACGTAAACCGACATCTTTCCATCTGCCTTGCAAGAGACACTGACTATCAGTCCCATGCTGTAACACTAATAAGGTAAGAAAACCACAGTAAACTCCGTTTTTGAGCTTTCCAAGAGAAGCATCTCTCCCAAGTGGTTGTGGAACAAATTAATTCTTCATTTAAAAGAGCAAGAGCTGGACTGTTTTTAAATCTTTGCTTAGGAGAAATGTTTTGCCACTGCAGCTTCTCCCGCATCTTTTATTTAATATTTATTCCTACAATTCAAGCATCCTTACCGAAGTTTTGATTCTCAAATCCTTTGGAGGGAGTTTTAAAGTCTTCTTCCAGTCATCGCCAGGTCTATAGCGAAAGTAAATAAAAATATATTTAAAAAAAAATTGGTTTAAATCTTAAATTGGTTTCATCTTGCATTTTTATTTTCTCAGATACAGTGATGAACACGTAATGTTTTCACCTCCTGAAAGCTAAAAGCGCCTACACATATGAGCTCAAGTCTCTCTGAGCTAAGCAGGATGCAACAGGCAGGAAACTGTAAACAGAGAAAATCAGCAGTCTGCCAAGCGCACAGAGAATTTGTGAAATCTTTATCCGGTCGTGATTCAAGTCCCAGTTTTAGGGCACTGAATTAATCCAGTAAAGCACAGATTTAAAATTGAGCACTGACTTGGTCATATGACAGAAACTGGCTATAATAAATCTACACGAAACTATTTCATCACTTAAAAATAAAAAAAAAAAAAAAATATTCTTCTCTTGCCCAGGGGACATCCATTCTTAAACCATAAGCAATGCAAGATAAAAACGCCTTTGGGGAGGAAAATTAAGCAAGCACACACTCCACTTGCGGATCAAATGTCGTCTTTTGCTCTCAGTGAGACTTAGACACCCATCTTCTCTTGAAAGCCACTGTACAGAGGAGAGCAAGTCCTTCTCTTCCCCAGTCCCAGGAAGTCACGAGTGAATCTCGATGAGTTTAACTCATTAGTTTTGTTAGTGTAACCCATTTAAAAAAAAAAAAAAAAAAAAATAAGGAAAAAAAAAGTGAAACAAGTTAGGCAAACTTTAAGAACCTGAGCATTCCCTGATGCACTCTCTGATGACGGCTGGCATTTCCTGTGCAAAGAATCGAGTAACAAAGCAAAAGTGAATGTCGTTCAGCGGGAGGAGGGGGAAAAAAAGAAAAGGAACACGCTACCGTACCATCCGAGTCTTTTACTTCTTTCGGAATTTCCAACCAGCACGCTCACGTTTTATTAGCACGCTTCCAAAACCAGTTTGATGGTAGGACGGTATCACACTGGTACCATATTAGCTCAGCTCAGGCTTTGATGAATTAAAGCCGGAGCACTGCACCGAGAAGAGCAAGCGCTACTAGTTAAGACCAATGACAAAAGATAAACCACTTAAAAAAATTTCTCACCACGAGAAAGAACTGCAAACAAACGACTGAAAAGCGTACACAACTGGACTGAGACTAGGTGGCGTTTCCTCCTCTGTCTTAAGTTTCAGTTCAGTTCCTTCCCACTCCCCAACTTCCCTCTCGTACCACTCGCAACGAGCAAAGAAAAGAGGATGCTGCTGCTGCAGTTGCCGCTCAGTGGGCTACCTCTGACAAGCGGCCACACGTGCTGAAAAGCAAAGCGTCGAATTCGATTTTCACAGTGACCACGCTGCAAAGATCGCTGCCAGAGAGCAGCTCGCGCACGGCAACACGGCTTTCTTTTCATAATGCACATCACAGGACGTTTCTAACCGCCAATGTCATAAAACAACAGAAGACAAGTTTTTAAAATGGAAACCCAAGAACACTTCCCCATACGTGACTTTTAAACATTACTTCTGCAGCCGCCGATACAAACACTTACTTGATAGCGGTGGTCATACTCTGTGCTTGCTGTTGAGTGCCGTTATTGATTGTGTTGGCATTTTTCAGCTGGTTCATCTGTTGCTGAGTTTGTGTGCCTCCACCTCCTGGGCCCCCGCTGGGTTTTACAGGGCCTCTCAACTGCCCATTCTGACTGGATAGACCCATTATAACAGGGTTCTCTGTTCTGGCCGTGCTCATGCTTGTATTTTTAAAGATGTCTTTTTAGACTTCAAAACTTTGAAAGTCAGTACAGAAACTGTAATAACAGTTTATTAGACTCTCCAAAACGAAGAGATAAATAAGTCTTGCTCAATATATGAGTCCTTTATTGCAATGCAGGCAAGCACCTGTAAGTCACTCAAAAGTAAAGTAGTAACTTGCTCTGATGCACTGTGGATCAACTTTTTTTTAAAAAAAGCCCTCTAACAAAGTTGAGTCGTATCAGAATTCACTTGCTTCAATCTGAAAGAGAAGTAGACAATAACAATTAGCATGTGGATTTTTGTCTACGCAAACCACCACATCGCTTTACCTCTGTATTTTAAGAATCGCTTCTTCCCGGGCAGCGTACAACAGCAGTACTCGCTTTTCTGTTTTCTCTGTAATAATTACCGAGACACGTGTCAAACTTTTGTCCTCCTTTATAAAGCTGCGCCCACCACCTTCAGTCACCAAAGTTCATTTTCTAAACAGCTATGCTTCCAGCAGCCTTCCAGTGAGAAACCGCTTGAAAAATACTACCTACTCCTGCCCCTCATAAAGTAAGCATGAATTACATCAAGTGCTCTGTCTGTTCTTGACATTCCCCCACTTCTGCGACACAGCAAAGCAGCCGTAAAACGCTAAGCCACAACATTACGCCCAAGTTTGTGACAGGAAGCGTGACCACAATATCAAGTGGACGTTCCAGTTCGAACTGACAAAACCCTTAAGTTACCCTGATCACCCTTCTCACTGCAAAAGTGAAATAGAAATTATATTCTCTTTTTCCAATTTAAAATCAACAAAACCCAACAAACAGCTTACCCTCCTCCAACCCCAAAAGCAAGTTCAACCAGCTTACAAAAACTTTTAAATTGGGTATTGATTTAACACCACTTGGAATAGCGAAACTAACGATATCATCAAGCTGAACTGACAGTAGCTTCCTGTTTTGTTAAGCCTAAACAACTGAGCTTAAACCGAAGCACTGAATAATGCACATTTACACTAGCTATCTAGCTTCCTGCTTATGTGTTCCGTGTGACGTTACCTTCCAGCTGTCAGTAACAACTCATATTGCGCTCAAAAGATAACATTTGGTACACATGACTTAATGTTGACACCGTATTTAACAGAAAAGTTGGCAGAACCGAAGAAAGATGATACAAAGTCTGCATCTTACATAAAGTAAGCAACAGACCAGAACTGAAAAACTCTTTATGATAAAATTAGGGAGCCCAGACAGTTCATAGTCCAAAACCTTTCAGAAGCAACAGAAAATAGGCTCGCCTATACAGCACCACGTTGCAACGTGTCTGTACTTTGGGAAAACGCAAAGGAAAAACCAGAAAACTACTGCTGCCTAACTTCAGCATCCACAAAAAGCGCGCCTTTCCCCAGTGAATAACAGGCACATTCCAGAGCGTTTCAAGAGGATGGAAGAGGAATCCAGACACTTCCCAGACTTCCCAGCTGTTTCCCAGCGTGTCAATTCGAGCTTCACGGCAAAACTTCACAGGTCGCGGAACTAGGGGGGTTTTTTTCTGCTAGTTATCCTCCTGACTGGAAGCACTGTTTCGAGGCGCCTCCGCAGAGAGATTGCTCATGCCCGTTAACTTTGTAAAAACCGAAAGAGTCACAAAAGTAACCAGGGCCGCCTAAAAGACCCAGATACCAAGGCCGAGGAGCCCTTCGAACTCCCTCGCTCCTAACTACCCTTTAAAAGGGCAGAGATTCAAGGAGGACGCTCAGCCTCACCGAACCCAACAAACCTCCCCGTTCCGACACGACAAGCGCCACCATTTCGCAAACCATCGGTCCGAC